CCCTCAAATCCTTGTGTTGATATCCTAAACTCCCAATATCTCAGAATGTGACTATTTTATTTGGAGACAGGGCCTTTAAAGAGGTAATGAAGGTAAAATGAGGTCAGATGGGTGGGCCTAATCCAATTATGACTCCTGTCCTCATAAAAAGAGAGATTAGGACAAAGAAACAGAAACGAAAGACTGTGTCGCATAGGGAGAGGATGGCCATCTATAAACTAAGGAAAGAGGTCTCAGGACACCATGTTCTTGAACGTGAGAAAATAAATTTCTGTTTAAGCTGCCTAATCTGTGGTACTTTGTTATATGAGTCCTAGGAAACTAATATGAATAGCCACTACATTTTTAAGAATTCTCAAATTTGCAACTTGAAATTACATTTTTAGATGAAATTTTTCAGAAGTAGACATTTGTTACCCTTCAGCAAAAGCACCCAGCACTATACATATACAGTGTCTTCAAATTGGTTTTGGGTAGTTTTCAGAAGAGTATTTAAGCACCTCAATTCTGTGTACAGAACTTCAAGATCACAATCTTCATTACAGTTGGCAGGACAGAACCCCTAGGGGCAATGCTGGCAGTGGGTAATACCAAGGAGTCCTGGTTCTAGTCCACACTCTGCAATTAAGTGTCATGTGGCCTTGGGCCAGTCACTTTCTTTTTTACACCACTGACTTTAAAAAGTGGAGACTGAACTAGGTGGTCTCTTAGATTCATTTATTTCAGACCCACATGACTCAGTGATGGTTAGAAGCCTTCTGATATGTAAAAAAGCATTTCACAGTTAAGACCTCATTTGGCCATAGTTATTTTACCTTTTCCTGATAAAAATGCCTTACACTGAAAAAAAAAAAAAAAAAAAAAAAAAAAAAGTAATTACATTTATGGATACAAAAGATTTTACAGGTTAGCCAGCAAAGATCAACAGTGGTTACCTAATTTTCTATTTCATTAAAAATAAATTCCTACTTCCAAAAGATCCTAAGCAAAAGATTAAAATAAACTCTGACAATCCATAACTCTTTTAAAGAACTTAAAAATAGAACTTCTAAAAATAGAACTTTTTCTCTAAGGAAAAGAAGTATCTGGCAGCTGGTAACTATTGTTACCTTTTAATTAAAACGAACACAAACCTGGTCTGAGATCACACCTCATGTTTCAAATTTATGTATACTAATCCTATAGGGAAGCTAAAAACTGAACTGGAAAAAGTGTTCCAACTCTTGTTTGGCAACTGAGCTTAGACAAAGAGCGTGTTTATGGGGGGTGGGAAGAGACAGATACACAGGGAGAGAAAGAACTCACACAGTCTGTCAACGTGTACTTGTATTAAAGGGAGAGGGCCACAGAAGAAGTTGACTGTAGGACAATTAGAAAAGCACTTTGCTTCTCAAAATAAAATCACTCCTTAATTAAAAGAGGGTGTTAGCAGACTTGGGGCTTTATCAGTTTTTAAAGTATGAATACATGCTTGCTATTCCCTCTAACTATGACAAGTTTAGATGGATAGCTATGAAAAAGAAAAGAAAGTATGACATCATTAGAATTACAGGTAAGACAAGAGGAAACCCAAAGTACAGACACAAGAACACAGAAAATTTTAAGAGAGTACAGATGTCATGACATTTATTAAAAGGCATGCTACAATGCTATACTTGTTAGGAAAAGAGATTAGAGATTATCAAGTAATAGCAAATATACAAACTGAACGAAAATGGAATATACTATAGAGTACAGAAGCTTGAATTAACCATGCACTACACATTTAGAAAATATGTTTTTTAATATTTTATCTTCTCTTTGCATTTATAACATAATTCACTTAAACAATCACAGAATCCTTTTCTTCCAACACCACAAACTGTGTTACAAATGAAAGCTGGTACTGCTGCTTATCAAAATATACAAGACAATTGATGTTTTGTATAAAACCACTTTATATGTTAACTTGTTCCCAAAAACCTTTTTTTTTTCTTTTTTGGCCTGGTTAAAAAAAACGTTGTTACAAATATTTACAGCATTTTCTTCTCTTAGATGAACATTCTTATAAACTGAAAAAGGGAATTTTATGAACAGACCACATAAAACACAAGACAATGTCAGAGGCTCCTAGCTGTGCTATTTTTGTTTTACTTAAATACAGTACTGAAAATGCCCATCAAACCCTTGTCATCCTAATCCATTCTGTTCACATTTATACTCCCATTTTCTCTAAGTAGTCTATTCACCAACAGGAAATAGAAAGTAAAGGCTGCTTTGCACTGGGTCTTCTTACAGAAAGGAGCTTGGGAAAAAATGCTTAATGAGAGGAGTTAAAACCAGAACAGTAAGTCTTCTTTGGTCAGAGCAATGAGGTGACATTTTGATGCAAAACTTTGCTTGGTCAGCAACCTATAATTAGTACTTTCTGAATGTGGGATGAATTTTTAAAAGATCTGGTTAATAATGGTAAGGGGGGAAAAGGCCAGAGTGTTTTTTTTTAAATGACATCAAAAATATCTATTTAAATATTTGTTAATACAACTACTACATAGATTTAAAAACTGAAAATAACACAACAAAATCTGTTTACAGTGCTGACTTAAGCTTCCTATACGCAGCTTTCAATCATGACTATTATCACCAAGGTCACTGGACCAGACAGATATCCCTGTTCTCTGGAACATATGCTTCAGGTTACAAAAACTAAAATGACTACCACAAAGATGTAGAGCAGCTCATTCTTGGACCTGCACAATGCTATAGAATGAATATTATGTGATAAAGGCAAAAGTGTAACTGAGATTTCATTTATACAGTTACAATTCTTTGCTTGTATGAATAGTCTGTGGGATAACATTCTTTTAAAACTATATAGTACGTATTTCCTGAAAACCAGAATACTGATACTACCTTAGTCTCAAATAGGAAGAAAAGGTCAATTAAGACTACTGAAGAAGGCACATAAACTTTGGTCCTGTTTTGTTTTCCTCCCTCTATAAAACTCCCCAAACTTTTTAGTAATTTTCTACTTTTAAACCATTCATAACTAACTGTTAGAATTTGCTGTGAAAAAAAGACTGCAAATAGTCTTACAGATAACAACACAGCTCTTTTGAAGGACAGTTGAGTTCTATCTTCTTTAAAGGAAAACTTTTGTGCAATCTAAACTGTATTTCTTGTAGCACAATAGTAGACTATTTAAAGTCTGGCAGTTTTATTCTTGTTAACAACTGATCAAGACAAAGGAAAGGCTAAGAAAAATGCTTTTACGCATAGTCATGCTGTCTTTTTGGTTTTAAAAATAGCAGTACACACTGGTTTTCAAAGAGACAGAGTGATAGTTTGGCAAACTTAGGGTTTTTAAGTGAGTCATTCAGGAAAAACACATACTTTTGAGTTTGTCATCTTTCCTCCAACAATATTTAGTGGAAACAGAAATTACATGAAAATATATTCACTATATAAATTTTGCTGCCTAATGACATGGAAGCTTTGAAAAGTTTGTATGGAAATGAACAGAGACAATAATGAGAGTTAACTTTTTATCAACTGAAGTAGAACCAATGATCATCATCCTAGGTGGTACCGAAGAAGGCATTGCTCCCAGAAGGAATTAAGCAGGCAGAAATTCAGTCTCTAAATATTGTGAGATCTGCAACTTTTAACAACACAATCAGAAACATGACTAAAAATAACTGATTACCTAGTCTTAAATAATTTATAGCATTCTATAGGAGCTATTAGGAGTTATGATACTCTCCAGTAAGTTATCAATTAAGATATTAAGATACTGGGTCATTTTTCTATTTATATCTCACACAAAACACATTTTACTGCTACACAAGTTATTAAAATCTCAAAGTAAAAATTTTTGGCATAAATTGCTACTGCTGAACGTGTACTGCTATTTTTTGAAGACCTGAATATATATACTTTGTGTAAAAGTCAAGACACTTCCAAAGTGGTAAGACAATACTCCTTAAAGTAAATAAACTTAAAAATAGGATACTATGACAGCTCAACAGCAAAAATAAACATTATTCAGAAGATACTGAATAAATGCATGCCAAAACAAAAGTACGAAGATCTAGTTTTTCTACTACCCTGATATTTTAAAATCTTTCTACAGACACTATGCCAAAACAAATACTGTAGACCTCTATAATTCAAACGGCAAATAACATATGGACGATATCCATGCACTAGAGCTAATTTCAGACCCAAATTGATGATTTCAAGCATACTATTTTAGATAAGAATATCTCTTTTCCAAATCTTAATTTGATTTTGTCAATAAATTAAAATGTATGTACTGTGCATATGTATGTACAACACAGAAGAGTGCATGTATGTATATATATTTATCTACACACACACACACACACACACACACATTCACACAAACTCCCTGAAAAGGATTCAAATGTCTCAGATTTAAAGGCCATTCCCTACTTCAAAATTACATTCAATGCTATTATGATCTCCCATCTGCTACACTGACACTGAATGCTATGAGAACCATGAATTAAATCACACAGTAATTCCTAACTCAAAGCAAACAAAATAATCCAATTTAATGTGTCACTGACAATTATAATAGTGCCTTGTATGCTTGGAAAAAAGAAGCAAATTTTCGGAGATTTCTCAAAAAATTTTTGTTTTTTTCCCCTCCCCCCTTACTCAAGTGTTTTAGTAAAAACACATTAAGTGAAAAAAATAAAAACTATATAAATGATTATGCCTATCTATTCAGTCAATGCTAAAATGGATTCATTTGAAAGGTTTCAATTTAGTGTCCTCCTTCCTATTCTATGTACCAACTACCTGTTGCTCAGTGTTGAGTGAATTCTGCCTTTTTTTTTTTTTTTTTTTTTTTTTTTAAAGATTTTATTTATTTGACAGAGAGAGAGATCACAAGTAGGCAGAGAGGCAGGCAGAGAGAGAGGGGGAAGCAAGCTCCCTGCCGAGCAGAGAGCCCGATGCAGGGCTCGATCCCAGGACTCTGAGATCATGACCCGAGTTGAAGGCAGAGGCTTTAACCCACTGAGCCACCCAGGCGCCCCCTCTGCTTTTTAATAATCTATGGTATTTCCTGTAGTCTCCAATTTTTTGAAATAATCTTTCAACATTCAAGCTAATGGTTGGAATATAGCAAAGAAATGGAAATTCTTGAAGGTGAGATGAGCTACTCTGAGGATCTAAAAACTGTAAAAAGGATGGACAAAAATGACCCCTTTACTAAACTCTGCTTCTTAAAAAAATCCGATCAAGCACTGAAAAAAATTAAAGAACGTAAAGTTTCTAATTAAAAAGAAGTAATCTTACATTATATAATCACTGAAGCAACATGAAAATGTATTCTTACACTCAACCACAGAGAGGGACAGAGTATGAAAAAGGACCCCACCTCATCATATTCCATGTAGGCAGGGCACTCAGTAATGAAGTTATAGTAACAAAGAAAAGCATGTCACTTGAGAACTGAGAAAAGCCAAGTAATCCTGAGACAAATTCTAATGAGTGAGAAAGATTAGACAAGATCCAGAAACTGAGACTGCATTTTACAGTACCAAACTGGTATGCTCTGTCAAGGACTGCACGACCACTACTGGTCACAATGTAAAGAGGCCTACAGGTGTGCACTGAGTTATTACCCAAACCATTCACCCTTCCCTACCCCATCTCTGCACCAAAGCACCAAAAATTTGAATAAAAACTATTACTTATTGAAAACCACTTAAAATTGCAATGAAAAAACTTTAAAATCCTTACCAAAACAGGGAAAGAAAAACAAAATGCTCACCAAGCCCACGATATAGCTTTCAAGATATTTAGATAAAATTCTAACCTATTATATCATAAGCACATAATAAGGCACATAATAAGAAATTAAGTAAATACACAGTAATTCTGAATAAGTATTAGAGATTATAGTGGTACAAAAAACCCTTGAGATTAATTTTTTTCTAAAATAAGACCTTACCAAAAATAACTTTTAAAAAATCTGTCAAACCATATGATAGACCTGAATATTTTCCTTAAGACTGTAAACTTTTTTTTTCTGAAAACAATTATAAAAAAGTAGTTTATAAGTAGGATTTTCTTTTTAAATTTTCCAAGATCATATTACTCAGCAAATAGTGTCATTTTGAAATTTAAACCATGATTTTTCCTAATAAAACTAATAATTATTTTGACACCTTAATAGATCTTGGATTCTATTTAATTTCCTTGGGGACAATTGAGACACTTCATTTCTCCAAATAGTTTTAAAAAATTAAAGATATGTATTATTCCAAGGAGTGTCCTACAGTGAAAAAAAGAAACCATTGAAGGAAAACATGCAAGTTTATAAATTTTCTTCCAATACAACCCAATTTGTTTGTGTATACCTATCAATATATGCTAAATAATTAATATAATTTATAAGTGAACATAATTTCCTATAGGGGTTGAACTTCTGAATCATAAAGTTAAAAACCTGGTTGTAAGTAATTTTAAAAGTCTGTATGTTTAAATTTTTCCAAAGTACAAAGGATTTTAGAAATGTTTTATAAGGCTGATCTGGACCCAAACTAAAAGAAAGTCTGTCCTCTTGAAACCTAACTTAGTACAGGGAATTAAATTATCGAAAAAAAAAAAAAAAAAAATTTTTTTCCTGAAGGTTATTTTCATAGAAACTATGGGACAAAGGAAAAACAAACCTTTGATCACATCCTGGCAAGGGGGGGAAAAATGGAAAAAAAGAAGAAAAAGAAAAGAATATCCCTTGATTTTCTGTATATACTTGAATATCAAACCAGAGTTACTTTTGTGAAAGAGGCAGAATTGGTCTTGAGCTGCTTCAGTCTATGTCTGAAGGTTTTACTGAAATTATGGTCCAGTCTTAGGAGAAAAATTCACAGAAAAATCAGATTGTAGATTTTGAGAAGGAAACTCTGAGGTGGTGATTTTCTCCAAGATCATGATTATGAAGCTCAATGAGGGCCTGGATTGCTTCTTCCACAGATCCCAACTGAATGAGTGCCATTTTGCGATCTTTTCTGAAAATAATATAAGAAACAAAAAGTATATAGAATTCAGTTTGCCTACAATTCTTCCCAACCCTCTAAAGACTTCATTAAAGTACTTTAAAAATCTGCATACCACATTAAATAATGTTAATGTATTTCTTGAAAGCACTGACTTACTGAAAGAATTTAAAAGCCTTCACTGAACATCCCGCTTCTGTGAAAAGGTTCTTCAGATCATCCACTGTGACAGAAGGGCTGTGAAAACATGAGAGAGAGCATCAACTACCTTAGCCCAAATTCTCACATGAACCAAAGATTAACTGCTACAACTGCCAAATCTCCAGAGTATCTCACATTTTAAAGACAATAAAGCCATTCAATGAAGACACGATTCGAAAGTACCCCGAAAGATGTTCAAGATTGACACATACATGTCCTCAGCAATGTATTCTGGTCTCAAATCTTTTGCATAAGATATAAGCAGGTATATAAAGAAAAAGAAGAAAAAGAAAAATGTATCTATATTTCTTTTAAAGGGATAATTACCCATATGACTGACTTCAGTAATTAACTCATGGATCTCCAAAGTTACTTCTAATATTACCAAAGTTATTTCCCAGTTCTGACTTGTTGGCTCTAGACCACCAGAGTTCTACATTTTCAAAGGCTTTTAGGGTAATTCTGAATACATGTATATGGGAACTAGGCTCTAAGGTGGGTCCCTATTATTATTGCCTCCTAGTATTCAGGACTTTAAATACTCCTTTCCCATAACAAAGAGACGTCCTCTCTAACCTTTACGGTACTGTAGAAATGACATGTTTGAATTCTAAGGCTGAGAAACATTCTAATTCCCATCCTGCCCTCCTTGAATTATTAGCTTTGGAAGAAACCAGCTACCATTTCATGGGGACGCTTGAGCCAAATGGAGAAGACCATGTGGCAAGGAACTGAGGCTGCCTGTCAGCAACTAAGGGCGTAAGTAAGTTAACTACTTGGGAGGTGGATCCTCTGGCCCCAATAAAGCCTTCAAATTTACAAGAGACTCTTAATCAAACAACCCAGCTAAGCCATTTCAGGATTCCTGGCTCTTAGTAACAATATGAGATAATAAACATTTACTATTTTGATAAGCTGTTAAGTTTTGGGGAAGTCTGTTATGTAGCAGTAGATAACTAATACAGTGGCCTATCACATAAGGGTCAACTGACTAAATTATTCTAACACAGCAGTTTTCCTCTTTCACTAATTTCTTATGAGATGATTTAACTGCCATAATGTCTTAAGAAGACTGTATTTCATCTCATGACAGACAGTAAGGATGGCATGGTAGAACAATGACTGGATCTGCAGGGAGACAGATCTATGTTCACACTCTATTTCTCATTCATTGGTATATGACTCTGAGTAAGGTACTTAAACTGAGACTCTCAGTTTCACTGATAAATGAAACTAATGACTTGACTATGCATGGATTGACAGAGACAGAATAGTCGTTACCAGGGACTGGGGTATAGAGGGAAATGGGGAATTATTGTTCAACAGGTAGAGAGCTCCAGTTTGGGATAATGACAAGATCTGTAGATGGGACAGATGTGATGGCTATACAACAGGAATACAAAATGTGAATGTACACTGAACAGCACATTCAAAAATGATTAAGATGATCAATTTTATGATATATATATATCTTACACATTAAAAAAAGGTTATTATATGGAGATTAAATGAGGTAGCACATGTAAGTTACCAGCATGGTGCCCAGAATGTGGCAGACGTTCAAAAACATATGAATGTCCTTTCCCTCTTCTGCCTACACGTCTTTTGTATGTTGTAACTGAGACCAGTCCCTAGATAATGTATTTAAGAAGGTAACAATGACAGGAGTCTGTCTTGGTATCTAAGTATGTTGTTCCTCTACCTGACTCCATAATGATTAGCTGCTACATTTCTAAGTCCATGTAATCTCGAGTTTTTCCTTAAGTGACTCCTCCAGTTTCCTATCTGGCATGAGGTTTGAGCTGCTGTCCAGTTCAGATTCAAGGTTCCTTCAGGTAGCCTAACCAGAGACTAGCTGGCAGCCTAAGCATTCCACATTATTTTGAGTGGTTATTTTCTATTCCTATTCATCCCCATTCTCATTCTCAATAATGTTCTAGAATTGCACCCTTCTCCATTCCCTCAGTCTTTCAATTTCCACTCACACGGGCATATACAAGCATATCCCACAGCTTTTACCCTACCCTCTCCAAAGTTCATTCCCTCTTCATGTATTAGAATAAGTTATACACAACTGCCATCTTCAAAGGTCAAGGATTTCAAGAATTAGATCAAGGATTACAAGATGCTTTCTATAAAGGGCCACACAATGGTCACAGAGTCTCTGCTGCAACTATTCAGCTATCCTGTTGTAGCTCAAAAGCAACCAGACACTATATAAATGAATGAGTGTGGTTATCTGCCCTGAAACCATTTTTGGAAGGTGAAATTTGAATTTTATATAGTTTTCTCAAATCACAAAATACTTCTCTTTTGCTTCCCACCCCCCCCCAACCATTTAAAAATGTAAAAATCAATTTTAGCTCACAGGCCATATAAAAACACATGGATTTGGCTTGTGGGCTGTAGTTTGCTAATCCCTGAGTTAGAAGATAAGTAAAGAACAAGTCTACTACAACACTGTTTAACAAAGAGTGGTCACAATAAAGTAATTTTTAGCTTTTAAGTAATTAACACATACATGGCTTTAACAATTTTTTTCATATATATGGCTTTGCAACTTGTAGATAAATACTAGAAACTTCATTTTCCCCATATTTTTAGACACAAAGGATTTGATTTTCCTATGCTCGTTAATCCTTTAATTCTATACAAAGAGATGAACAAGTATGTACCAATGGAATATTTCCATACAAACTTTTCTTTAGAAAAGATTTGTTTATTTATTTTAGAGAGACAGTACAAGCTGAGAGAGGGGCAGAGAGAGGGAGACAAGCAGACTGCACCCCTCCCCACACTGAGTGTGGAGCTCGATGCAGGGCTCAATCCCAGGACCCTGAGATCATGACCTGAGCCAAGAGGCAGATGCCCAACCACTGAGCCACCCAGGTGTCCCTGCACAAACTTATTTTAATGCCTTTTTAAAACTGAGAGGTAACTAGTTGCTAATTCCCTATATGGAAAGAAATTTTACCTTTCACTTTTAGAGTGTATGACTAAAGATATACCTTAAGACATGATGGCAAATAAACCATGTCACAAGAAATTAATGACTAGGATAATTGCTACATTAGAATAATTTCAGAGTTTCTACCTCTCTCAAAACATAATTAATCATCTAAATGAATAATAAATAATTAGGTACATACGGAATGTTGGAAAGATGCAGGGTAGCTGATGGTGGAAAGATATTCTGGAAGTTTTTAGAGCCAGGTTTTTTAAAGCGATGCAAAGGACTATTGCTAAAATCCTTAGTTAGACCTTGGTCTTCTTGTCCCTCTCGAGGAAGCTGAACTGCCTGATGTTTGGACAGTGTAGCGCGAAGTACTTTTCCATAAAGTCTCTGTCCACTCAGGTGGTTCATTGCTGGCATATAGGAAGAAAATAAGAAAAGTCTGGGTATTAAGATAGAGTCACTGTAAAATTTGTCTAAATTATCATAAATTCCTTTTATTTAGTCACTTAAGATTATATTGCCAGTTATGAGGGTTAAAAGGGTTTTAAATTAAAAAACTCTTACATACAGAAATGTATTAAATGACTTTACTTGACTATAATAGAAGAGAGGGAATCTTTAAAAAATAATCATCTTCTTAGCAGAGTGCTAGAGAGTTCCATAGTGCAGAGAACATAACAAGTGCTCAGGAAATGGTTACTGAATAAAGGTAGTTTACTCTCAAGCAACAGTTTTTTTTTTTGTTTTTTTTTTTTTTTTAAGTGCCTAACATGGCGCTTGAACTCACAAACTTCAGATCAAGAGTCGCATGTTCTACCAACAGAGCCAGCCAGGTTCCCCTTGGGAACACATTTTTTTTTTTTTTAAATTAAAAAATCTAAGTAGTGATTTTTTTATAAAGATTTTATTTATTTATTTGACACAGAGAGAGAGAGAGAGATCACAAATAGGCAGAGAACCAGGCAGAGAGAGAGAGAGAGGGAAGCAGGCTCCCCGCTGGGCAGAGAGCCTGATGCTGGGCTCGATCCCAGGACCCCAAGACCATGACCTGAGCCGAAGGTAGAGGCTTAACCCACTGAGCCACTCAGGCACCCCAGTTAAGTAGTAATATTTTTAACAGCCACTTTAACAATGAACAATAAGACCACAGAATGCCATTTTCTTGCACTATCATTAAGAAGTTTGCACAAACTTTTAAGTCATGAAATAACTGCAGAAAACTTAATTTGGAAGAAAAACAAATAAATAAACGAACAAAAATTAAATAAAACAAGTTGCATTTATTAGTTTACATTTAATGGAAAAATCTAGAGTCAAAGTTCTTTTTATTCACTTATTTGTCAGAGAGAGAGAGAGAGAGAGAGCACAAGCAGGGGGAGCGGCAGGCAGAGGGAGAAGTGGACTCCCCACTGAGCTGGGAGCCGGATGTGGAACTTGATCCCAAGACCCTGATATCATGACCTAAGCCAAAGGCAGATGCTTTACCAATTGAGCCACCCAGGTGTCCCTAGAGTCAAAGTTCTAAACATCAACAATATTTTCAAATAGATGAATGAACTTCAGACTTCAAACAGTAATAAGTATTTTTAAATCTTAAACTATAAACAGGTCCAAATAATAATGAAGACATTTGCATAAAGAGGTACTCTTCAGTAAAATCATATTCCTACTACCTATAAGTTTATTTTATAGGAAAATCCACATACAAAAGGGGCAGGTTATCATTACTATTATTAATCGTCAGTACCTAGCTGAGCTTGACTCGCATCTGCCATCTGAACCAAAGCATTTTCTTTCTTATTAAACATAATCTTCACTCGATGTACATCACCATATACTCCTAATTGAAAAGACAAAAACAATTTTATTAAAAATCTTAATGCCTGACTGTGTAATGTTTAATATTACAAATACATTTAAAGAAGGCTTCTTTTCTCATCTTATATATATTCTCTGGGCAATTCCACACATGTGAACCCAAATTTGTATCTCTTCTATTTCAGATCTTTTAATCTACTCAATCAATCATTTTCACTTGGATGTCCCATAAACACTTCAAATTTAGTACATCCCAAACAGATTCATCTCCTCTTTCTTCTCCCTGCTTCCAGTGTTCACTAACTCTGCTAATAAATATTATCATCATTCACATATTCAGACACTTGGGAGTCATCTTTTAATTTCTCCCTTTCCTTAAAATTTTACATCTGATCAATCACCAGTACCCATTGACTTTATGGCCTAAATTATCTCTTACATTTGTCTACTTCTTCCCATCCTCATTACCATCAAAACTGCCATCATCATTTCACACCTGAACTATCCTAATAGCCTTCTAACTGACCCCAATTCCTGTCTTCCCCAAAGTGGATCCCATATTCCGAAGGACTGGCAAAATGATTCATTGGGATGTAGGGGGAAAATAATCAAACTCATATTTATACTGATTTGCTTATATGAGCCAATATGAAAAACTACACCTTACTAATTTTTAATATATACATGACATTACAGGCAGAAATTTCTATAAGAAGAATATTCTCTCTTTTTAAAATTCAGTATACCAAAATACATTGCAGTTTATATGCGACAGTGTATCACCAATATAATAAAAATAAGAACCTTAAGCGAGTAGCACCATGATCATACTTTGTAATGTGATGAGAGAATAACTGAAAATCTTCAAGGCACACAAGAGTGCTGGTTATCTTGTGGGCAAGCACCTAAGAGCAACTGAACTTAGATTTAAAACAAAAAGACAAGCATTCCAAACATGCTGTCCTTCTTAGAAATGGTGAGTATCTGAAACAAATATTCTTTAAAAAATAACATACAATTTGAAAGCCGAGGGTGACATTTTTTTAAACGAATAAGAAATTAGCTTTTAGAAAGAATGTACTTTAGCTATTAAAGAGACATGTGAAAATTTATCATTAATATCTAATTTTGTTATTGAAAATTACATGAACGTGTCATGAATAAAAACTTCCAAAGTAATTCCAATGAGTATGAGGGATCTCTGTGGGGTGATGGAAATGTTCTAAAACTGGACTGTGGTAAAGAGTGTAAAACAATGTAAATTTACTAAAAATCAATGATGTAATAATACCTGAAGCAGGTGAACTGTAGGATTATAAATTCTATCTCAAAAAGACTGTTTAAAAATTCAATTATCCACTCAAAATTTTGAAACAATTTTCCATCCTAATAAAACTTCCAAATAAAGAGTACCAGTGAGTTTTAAACCCATCTGCTTAAAAAAATTCTAATGCCAACAGTTTTCGACATCAACCAATTTAACAAGAGAAAAAATGGAGCTTCTCTAGGTACGTAAAACAAAAGTAAGTGGATTAGACTGAAATATTAGTATCATACTTAATTAGGCACAGTGACAATGAAACATTTCCACTAAAATCACTTGTCTTTATGAGCTATCTTTCTTAGTTATGACAAACATTAAGATCAAGTACTAAAATAAAGTGAATTTGGAATCATCCAGGAATACTAAATCAAAATGGAAAAGATTTTTGAAAATAACAAAGCATGTTAAATCATACTTCTCACTATATGTTAGTTTTTTATGAAAATTTTCATCAGTAAAAAGCTTTAAAATGCTGACTTATTGTATTACTTATTGTATTGCTCTTATATTTGTACATATTATACTGTACATGAGTACAGTGAAAGATGGATAAAGTTTATAAATAATCATATATAAGTTAGGAGTACATGCTAATTTTTTTTTTTTTTTAACTGAGAGAAGAACATATTAGAAGGTCTGGAGACCTTTTAAAACCTCAATCTCATTTTTTAAAACTTGAATTTCATCTGACCTCTTGCCTGCTTTAAACTATTCAATGGTTTCCCACTGTTCTTAGGTTCAAAATCAAGCTCCTTAATTTAGTTTATAAAGCTCTTCCTATGACCTTGCCCATATTGCACATGTGCCTCCCCTATACTTTCCACTGGGGGGGGGGGGGTTCCTTCACTTCCATGTTCTAGGAGCCCTTTCATCTACTGCTAGTATCTGGGAAATGACACTTGCCCTTTCTTTCTGGCTAGCTAATGCTTACTCATTTTTCACAAGTCAGCTTAACTATCATTTCTTTTGGTACACCATCTTTGATTCCCTCAGCTAGGTTAGGTCTCCCATCTCCATGTTCCCATTACAATCTCTATTTCCCTTTTTATAAAACTCTACTGTAACTGTAATTACTAAGTCTTACTTCCTATTCTACCCTCAGTGTCAAATACACTACTTGGCACATAGAGATAACTGATAAATATTACTGAATGATGAAATATATTTAATCCACACCACAGACATCAAAAAGAGCAAAGAAGAACTTACCAAACAGGATAAAAAGCCCATGTGGTGTGATAAGCTGTTTGAAAAGGATAACACAAATTATAAGTGTCCAAGTAAAAATTTAAAGGAAGTTTACCTGTAAAAACAGCAGTTGACTTTGTTTAAAGCATTGATTTTATATTTTCCTATATATACTAGTGATAAACTTTAATAAAAATCCTTGAAACAAACGTAAACATTTTCATTTGAATATAACCCCACTCCCTACTATTCCGCTGCCTAAAAGACTAAAATTATATAATACTTTCAAACTCACATCAGGATTGAGATTGGTGACAAGCAGAACAGAATTTCCTGGTATACCACCAGCCCCAGGAATAGCCATCCTTCCAGTGACAGCAGAGGAGGTGATTGTGAGAGGGCCCAGAGCTCCAGGAACAGCTGGGACTGATAATCCTTTTTAAAACATCAAAAGCATTTCATATATTGGTTATCTGGGGAATTACAACACTGGATATATCTTAAGTAAATAAATGAAGATGAAAGCAAAAATATAGAAGAAAATGTGTCAAATCTACCATAAGGATATCAAAGGCCAGTTTCCTGCCCTACAGAGTTAGTCTAGGAGTCAAGTTCCTTATTCTTTGACATCATCATACTCTGTATTATTTGTAACACAATGTTTTGCAGTGCAACAGAATTCACTAGTCTTAAAGCCATGAGGCTTCTGGAGGGTATATCAACTGCAAGTATTCCTTTTCTTGAAAGAGATACATTCTAGCACATCCCTATAGGGTAGGTGTAGTTTTTCATTTGGTTTCTACCAAAAAATAAAAATAAAATATTTTTAATATTTTGTTTATTCATTTGAGAGCGAGAGAGACAGAGAAGAAGCAGGGGGATAAGGCAGAGGGAGAGGGAGAAGCAGACTTCCAATAATACTGGAATACTGACACTACACATTATGCTTAAAATAACACACTTTTCAGAAGTGTCCCACTTCTGACACTGTTTCAGAAGGTCCCACTATTTGTGTTCTCAGCTTAACTAAGGTAAAATCTCTAGTTTATGTAAAATGAACCAGTTCCTTAATGATATTTATTGATTCTTTAAGCTCAAAATTCCTTATTATAGAGTCTGACCACTTTGCCACAAATCACATAATTAAGCTGCAACATAGTTTACTTCAGACTATTCGGCTTGACAATCTAATAAGGTCATTACTATCATTGTCCTGCTGAGCTTTAAAACTCTACAGACCACTTTCTCAGGCTGGATACTTTTCCATGAAATCTTTATTCAGTGGTCTTTCACATGGCTTCTTCCCATATCCCTCCAATCCAACTCTGCAACTTCTGAATAACTTTTGTAGATTTATTCTATATCACCAACAGTACAATTTGGCTACACCAAGTGTGTAGTGTGTATCTATCCCCCTACTAAAGCTTAAGTCTTAGCAACTCAGGAGTCCCCTTTATGCCATTTTTTCTCCTTCTTAATGTCTATAGTGATTTACACATAGTGTGTGAAAAAGAACTATCTAAAATGAAGGAAACCTTACATCACTACTTCTAAATGTTTATCAATTAAACTTTGGGGAGCTTCAAATAAATAAAAATAATGTATAATGCCTCCATTTTAATGGAATAGGTAGAATATTCATTTAATTAGACATACATTAAGATGACTTATAACCACCAAAAACATAAAACTTAAATGTCAACCTTATTATTCTTTCCCTTTTAGTCACATGTCATACTCTCCATCAGAGAGTACTTAAAATTCCCAAAATTGGAGGGACAGAAATGTAAAGATTAGTACAGAAAGGATCTATGTTGCAATTTAAAACAGAGTTATACTCATTAATCAGTTGGAAACTGGAAATGTAATAAGTACACCAGGATTAACACTGTATCACTTTTAATCAGCAACCTCCGTGTTTTCTTTAGGCACTGGAGACAAAACCATAAAGTAATTTTTCTTCTTTTCCTTAAGTTATGATCAAATTCATTTCACTTACTATTTGGAAGAGTGAGAAGTCATTATCAAAATATTAACCAACTGCTATCTCTTAATTATCTCTATTAGCTAAAAACTATATATCCCCTACTACAAGCAGCATGTGTACTCTCTATGGCAATCCTCTGAAACTATCAGTGACATAAAAAAGGATTTACAAATATGCTGTATAGTAAATATTTATTAATTTGCATATTTACTGGGGTACCTAGGTGGCTCAGGCTATTGGGTGTTTGCTTTTGGCTCAGGTCATGGTCTCAGGTTCTTGGGATTGAGCCCTGCATTGTGCTCCCTGCTCAGTGTGGAGTCTGCTTCTCCCTCTGCCCCTCACCCCAGTCATGCTCTTTCTCTCTCTCTCCCTCTCTCAAATAAATGAATAAAATCTTTTACAAAAATAACTGAAGTGTTTACTGACTGCATAGAATGTACTGAATGCCATCAAAGGCATTAAGAACACAAATTAAGTAAGACACAGGTCTGTCCAACATTTGGACAATTGATAAGCTTATCAGCAAAGACATAAGCAGTTTATACATTTTATACAGGAATTTAAAGGGCAAATGTAAGGTTACTTAATACAGTCAACCTATCATAATCTGTACCAATAATATAAATGATACAGAACATACACTGGAACCTGGGGGGCTGGAAATGGAACCACAGGGAATTATTCATAAGGACAAGGAAGCTGAGCATCATATGATGAGCCACTTTTTTTTTTTTTTTTAAGATTTTATTCATTTTATTTGTTAGAGAGAGAGCACAGACACGGAGAGCAGCAGACAGAAGGAGAAGCAGGCTCCCTGCTGAGCAGAGAGCCCAGTGTGGGACTCAATTCCAGGACTCTGGGATCATGACTTGAGCCAAAGGCAGACGCTTAACCGACTGAGCCACCCAGGAATCCCTACGATGAGCCACTTCTATGGTTGATATACATAACCCTTTTATTGTAAATCCTTCGAATATGGTGCTATTTTTCATCTTGATAAGTTCCTAGAACATATAGATGATGACAAAGCCATTTCAAATTCAACTTTAAAAAAATCACCTGTAGCTTGATGAAATCCAATGGCTGGGGCAAATCCAGCTGCCCCTGCATAGGGTGAAGAAATTATACCTGGTGCACCTAGTGGGGGAAGAGAAGCTAAAGTAAATAATTCTACCTCTATAAATATGGTTATCAAAGCAATATAAAAAAACCTCAAGATGGTATATTATTCATAAAGAGATACTGTTAAGATTTGTTCAACAGGTGCTTCTTAATGTATACGTAAAGAGCCTCTGCCCCTTCTAGAGACTAACCCCTTTCAGCTGGGTCCGAGGTTCACGAGTCCAGCTTTGCTGTTTAGTTTTGTGTTACTGGTTATTTCATTTTCATTTTTTTAATTTTGTTACTGAGGTTGAGAGCCCTTATTGAGAGCACAGTTTCTCTGTGAAAAATGTCAAATATTTATTAAAATGTACTGTACCTAGAGAGTACTGTTTTGATGAAAAGAAATACGAAATTAAAATCCCTGTTTTTGAAAGGCTTACAAACAAAAAATATAAATTATTGGAGATTTATATACTGAGGATCTAGTGGTTTAAACACAAAATACTATAAGTGGTCTAAGAAGGGATCACAGAGGATCCACTGTGATTGTTTGAAGGTTTCTCAGGAGATAAAACCTGAGCTGGACATGATGTAATTGAAAAGCACAGTGCTTAGTGTATCCCAGATGCCAAACAAATGCTGGTATCCTTCCCTTTCCTTTCAGAAGCCTGGTGACTATGCACCAGCAACAGAAACAGGAGTTAGTTCCAACAGGAGGAATCAATACTAGTAGGAAACAATTTGGTTTTGGACATGTCAAGATTGAGGTGATGGCAAGACACAAGTGGAAATAAGCAAATTCAGAAATTAACTAGTGTTAAGACACAGATTCATAAATCATCTATGTAGAAACAAATGTGAAAACCACATGAATGAGAGTTCTACTAAAAATGACAAGGATGGGGTGCCTGGGGTGGCTCCACTGGTTAAGGGTCTGACTCATGATTTCAGCTCAGGTCAAGATCTCAGGGTCCTGAGATCCAGCCCCACATGCTGGATGGAGCCTACTTAAGATTCTCTCTGGCCCTCTCCTTCTGCTGCTCCTCCCTACTCCCCCTCCCTCCTGCTTGAGCATGCACCCTAAGAAACACATACATACAAGAGAAGACAAAAAATGGAGAGTTAAAAATAGAACCTGGGGGGCGCCTGGGTGGCTCAGTGGGTTAATAAGCCTCTGCCTTCGGCTCAGGTCATGATCTCAGGGTCCTGGGATTGAGTCCCGCATCGGGCTCTCTGCTTGGCAGGGAGCCTGCTTTCTCCTCTCTCTCTCTCTCTCTCTCTGTCTGCCTCTCTGCCTACTTGTGATCTCTCTCTGTCAAATAAATAAATAAAATATTAAAAAAAAATAGAACCTGGGAGTAATAGTACATTTAAGTGGTAGAGGAAGGAAGAATATTTTAAGAAAAAAGAGAACAGATTTAGAAAGAAAAAACAGAACGGTGAATTATAATTTCTCAGGATCTAGAGGAATAGCATTTAAGTGGGTAGGGGCTCAATAAAAGTCAAAGAGAATGAGAAATGTAAGAAGTAAAGAAATTTTAGAACAATAGTGAGTAGTCAGATTTTAAGAGTCAAGGGGAGTGTTGCTTTTCTCTTTTTAATGAGAGGGTGATGAGCATTTTATGGGAAGAAATACGTAGGCTATATTCTCCAGAGGAGCTAAAAGCTCAAAAAGTTTATTCTCTTCTTTAAAAAGAGTTAACAGAATTCCTTAAATATGCAGTTATGATTTATTAAAATAAAGAAAATATATAGTCATTAAGAGACTTCAGGGATAGAGCAAGCAAGGAAAACTGACAATGAATGAAAATAGAAAAAATGAGGTAAGTGACAGAAGTGATGAAATAGAGGAGAAACATAACATTTACTGAAAGCACATTGTGAGTCAAGCATTCTTCTCTTGCTGAGGAAGCAGAACAAAGCAGACAAGAATCTGTTCTTGATAAACTTACATTAAGTACATTCAAGATCACAGATAAAATGATTCATTTTTAAAACAGAAATAACTATATTTAAAGCATAAAGGAAGACTTCACAAAGAAGCTTCAATATGGATATGAGTAATTACGAAAATTTACACCAGAAAGTTAAACATGAGAGATACAGCAGACTGTATTACTGTTGACAAGTATTTACTTGTCCCTTCTGTGATATACTCTGGCTAGTACTGTGACTTAAATACCACACTTGTTTTTAAGAGAAAGAGAGAGGGAGAGAGAATCCTAAGCAGGTTCCACCTGCAGCATAGAGCTGATGAGGAGCTCGATCTCACCATCCTGAGATCATGACCTAAGTTGAAATCAAGAGCTGGATGCCTAACCAACTGAGCCACCCAGGCGTCCCCAGTACCACATATTTTTATGCAATTCCCACTGCACTTAAAATCATGTGAGTACACAGATATGACATATACCACCCTCTCTACACAGAAGCTTCGAGAGGCACTATGGGTTTACACTAGCTCTCCTATTTTTTTACTCTCTGCCACAAGAATGTCACTTCTCAAATGCGGTGACACTTTCGGCCTGAGCCCTGGATACATGTGAAATACACGTGAAAGGCTGTTGCAAGAACGGATTCACAGCTGCATAAATGTCAGTAGAGTGAGAGAAATAAATGTTAATTGCTATAAACCACTGAGATGTGCGGGGGGTGAGGAGGTTTTTTTGTTTTTGTTTTTAGATTTTATTTATTCATTTGACAGAGGAGGGGGCAGGCAGAGCTCCCCTGAGCAGGGAGCTGATGCAGGTCTTGATCCCAGGACCCTGGGATCATGACCTGAACCAAAGGTAGACGTTAACCAACTAAGCTACCCAGGCGCCCCAAGGAGGATTTTTAAAACACAAAAAAACTAATAACAGATGGCTATGGGGGGGGGGGGTTGTGAGGTTGTGGGGCAGAAGACTAGTGGTAGGTTTTAGAGAAGGGAAAAAAATCTTTTTTAAATAAGGAAAGATTTTGAGGGAAGTATCACAGAATGCTAAAAATAGCAATGAAAAAAAGAATTGTCAAACAATTAACAGGGATAAATTTTAAGTAATTTCCTCCAAGTAAAATATGATTAATAAGAACATTTGTTAAAACCTGACAAAAGTGGGGCGGGTGGCTCAGTGAGTTAAAGCCTCTGCCTTCGGCTCAGGTCATGATCCCAGGGTCCTGGGATCGAGCCCCGCATCGGGCTCTCTGCTCAGCGGGGAGCCTGCTTCTCTTCCTCTGTCTGCCTACCTCTCTGCCTACTTGTGATCTCTGTCTGTGAAATAAATAAATAAATCTTTTTTTTTTTTTAAGATTTTATTTATTTATTTGACAGAGAGAGATCACAAGTAGGCAGAGAGGCAGGCAGAGAGAAAGGGGGAAGCAGGCTCCCCGCTGAGCAGAGAGCCCGATGCGGGGCTCGATCCCAGGACCCTGGGATCATGATCTGAGCCGAAGGCAGAGGCTTTAACCCACCGAGCCACCCAGGCGCCCCTAAATAAATCAATCTTTTAAAAAAAAAACAACCTGACAGAAGTATCATTGACAGTTTCCATTAATATATACTCCTCCAGTAGACACAGAAGCATTTTAGCAAAGTAACCTTTAGAGACAATGAATTAGTATCTTTATGAAAATATTATACAAACCTTTATAAAGACTCAAGATTTGAATGACCAAGAATAGATATTTTACATTTGGAAAATGTACCATCACAACAGGAATTAAGGCAATAAAAATTGTGAATATTTTTACCAATGAAATCATTTTTCAGTAATATTCTTAATAGCAAAACCCTAAAGAAAAAAGCTTAATGTCCAAATTGGAGAATGATTAAATAACTCATGAGTCACTTTCTAACCTATAAAGCCATTTAAAATATTATGAAGAGTGTGTACTACCAAAAAAAAAAGCACAACCACAGTGTTTTTTAGATAATGTGAATACAGTGGCAGATTAAATAATATAGACTATCCTTAATGCAGAAAATGCCCAATGAAAGAGTGAAAAGATCTTAAAAAAATCTAACAGCTGACAAAATGATAAAGAATAACCAGGTCAGGGGGTGTAAGGGAGGGAAGGCTGGGTGATGGACACTGGGGAAGGTACGTGCTATGGTGAGTACTGAGAATTGTATAAGACTAATGGATCACAGATCTGTACCCCTGAAACAAATAATATATCATATGTTAATTAAAAAAATAATTAAAAAAAAAAAAAGAATAACCAGGTAAAAAACCTATACCAAAAAACAGAGCTTTGGTTTTGTCAGCCTCAAAGGGTAGTAGATAAGATGCAAATTCTAGGATTGGCTCAAGGAAGGAAGTCAATAGGCGATCTTTATGGCATTAATCTAAAAGTGTATGCCTAAATAACCTACCCATCTCACCCTCAGAGAAGACTGTAAGAAAAGGTGTCTTTGTGTCTAGCAAAGAAGGAACAAAAAAATTTCTGAAAAGTTCTAACCAAATGCATTTCTGAAAAGTTCTAACCAAATGCAAGCTCTGCCAATTTGCAGCTCAAATTCACATTTCTTAGGAATCCAAAATAAAAAATAAAGTTGTGGATTTAGACTGAAATGGTCTAAATCTGCGTTTGCTCCCAAACGCAGAGCCTTTAGTGTTTCAGACAAATTCTCTCTGGAGGAGCATACCACAATCCCAAGACTCAAAGAACTCATGTAATTAATTCTCTAAGTAAAATGAATACAAGAAAGAAAGAGAGAGAGAGAGAGAAAGGAGAGGGGAGGGAAGGGAAGGGAGGGAGAGAGGAGAGGATAGGATAGGAAAGGAAAGAAGAGGGATGGAGGGAAGGAGGGAAGAAAAAAAAAATCTAACAGAGACACAAATGCTATGATTTCAGACATAAGAATTATCGGATGAGGGGCGCCTGGGTGGCTCAGTTGAGCTCAGGTCATGATCCTGGAGTCCCGGGATCCAGTCCCACATCAGGCTTCCTGCTCAGCAAGAGGTCTGCTTCTCCCTCTGACCTTAGCCCTCTCATGTTCATTCATTCTCATTCGCTCTCTCAAATAAATAAAATCTTTAAAAAAAAAATGA